GCAGTGTTGCTTCTGGACCTCCACCTCCGCTTCGATAGCCTCATACTGCCGAATTTGAATGGAGCATTGCCTCTTGCTCGCGCTCTCCATCGCCTCACATTGCCTCATGCTCGCGCTCTCCATCGTCGACGCCATCAACGCCCCATGCTTCTCCATGCACTCGCTTAAGGCCTCGAATGTCTGCTGCCGCACGTTTTTCCTCTTCCCGAAATCGGCCGGACTTCCAGTCGTCTGTGAGGCCCCACGCGCTGAGCTGTCGTCTTCGTCGTTGCCATCTCCAGCGGCATCCCCGTCACCCACAAACTCCGGAGTCGCCGATTGAGCAGATGGGAGTTGCACACCTCCTGCGCCACCGGTGTCTGCAAGATTGCTCGGGCTGATAGTGTCGCTCCTCTCCTTCGCCCCTTTGATCTCCTCGTAGACGGCCCGATCCATGTTGAAGCTGAATCCTTTCTCTGCCCTCTGTTGACTCGTCAACTGGAAGAAGTCCTCCTTCCCCGACATACCCATGAAAGTGTGGATCTTTTTGAACTGTTGCATGAGATTATCCCATTTCTTCCCGCATTTGTCTGCCGGCCTGTCAACACCGACCTTCAACAACCTCTCCTGGACGTCCAACCATTTCCACTCCCTTGACTGCATCCGAGCGAATGCGTGCCCCGACGCTTGCAGCTGGGCGTCCTGATCCCGCTTTGCCCTTATGAGGGCCACCATGTGATCCACAAACCAGAAATTCCGGCCACCCTCCCCATCCCCCTCACCTTCCGCATCAGCAGAGGCCGCCGACGGCCTCTTCCGCCTCCGCCCAGCATTCGTCGAAGCCCTGCCTCTACCGCCCCTGCCACTCATGCTCGGCGCACGCAACGGGAACACGTCGCCGCTGTCGTCCTCCTCAACGTCGCACTCAACTTCGTCACCGTCTGTCCAGACGTCACCCCCCCCGCCAACCGCGTCTGCTTGCCCGGCCCGCTCGCCCACGCGTAATCATTGCACACCTTGCGTTATGGACTCTTCTTGTTGCCGCCGCAACTCCTGCCTCGACTCCTTCCATACCCGCCTGCCATCTCCACGCGCGCCCTCGAAAGGGAAGTCTTCGACACTCACACCCCGTTCAACTGGACGAGGAACGGTGTCGCGGCCCCTGGAGAACGCAGGAGGGGGGTTCATCCACTCAGGGCGACCAGCGGTGGTGCGTGGAATTGACGGGCCAGAAGTCGCCTGCACTCGAGGCCGCTCCCTCGTCTTCTCGGACGTCTCCTGACGCGCAGAACCACCCCTCATGCCCCTGCCGACCAATGTTACCTGCCCCGCGTCGTCGTCGGGATGAGGGTTCACGAGCACAGTGCGCGTGGCAGAAGATGGGCTCCCGCTCCGCAGGCCAAATGTGAGATCCACAGGGGGGAGGCGTTCCTCTTCCTGGGCACCTTCGTGGAGGAGGGAAGTGAACGACCCGCTACCCAGCAGAACTGTGTTGGACACGTCCACGTCCGCCTCCCCCTCGTCCGAATCGGGCAGAGGCTGCATGTGAGGCGGGAGTCCTTCTTACGTCGACGGAGCTGCCGCCCTTTTGTCTACACCGGTGCAGATCGCAGGCCGGTGGCTGGGATAAGTGTCCAACAACGTGGCAAGATTCGGTCGCCGCCCGTCCATGGCCACGCTCTTCCTTACCCCTCGTTTCCTGCGAGTACGTAAAGGCAACCTCCCCAATATGCACACCTGAACAAAGACGACAACTACAAGCATAATCACGACGAGGGCAGCTTGCGGAGCACGTTGGCCATGTAACACAACCATTCTCGCAAGGGCAACTAACGACGACAACGCACGACAACGTAACGTCTACCCAGACGGCGGCAAACAGCAGACGACAACCACACGACTGCCGACGCCCTTTGCCGCTTTACATTGCGGACCACTGCGCGCGGTGACGGACGTGCACCGCTGTCATTTTCGAAACGGCTGGCCGTTGGAGGCCTTCCCGTTTGCCGCCGGTGCTGGTGAGGGGCCGGGATAAACCGGCAATGGCCAGGGACCCCGTCCGCCACCCAACCTTACCGTTGTGGTCGTGCCCGCCGGAGTCGAACGTTGCTGGCTGCTAATGTCCGCCCTCACCTCGACTGGACCAGCAATGTACCAGACTACAAAATTAGGACGTCGTCGAAGAGCGCCGCCGCCGTCCTGAATTTCGCGGAAACTCCCACTCCGAGGGACCTCGCGAGGTACCTTGGGGAGCACAGCCAAATGCCTGTAGCCCGAGGATGGCCCGAGGACGCCCCAAGGAAATGTTTTCACATCGGTTTCCAAGGAACTCTCTCCGAGGACAGATGGAACGATCATTTCCTCGGGATTCTTGAGCGCCCGAGGAGCGTCTAACGAGCCCCTTTGGCAGCATAGGGTGGATTGTTTGACGGGATGGGACAGGTTACCTTCTGTTACCGATGTGCCTCGTAATTGGCAGGGGGCAAGTGTTTCGAGGGGTCTTAGGCAAGGCTGAGTTTGTTTGTTGGTCCCCCCTAGGTTTGTCAGTGGGGAAAGCGTTCTGAGGGGCTCTATTTTAGGTACGGTTCTGGGTCTGGCGGTGGGCCTACCGTGGGGAGTGACCGCTTTGTATGATCCTGTACTTCCCAGTCTTATCGGGATTGAGTCTTGAAGTTGACGATTGAGACCCGGTAGGTTTTCGGTCGGACTTTCTGAGAGTACTTATAGGGCCAACCACATTGGTTTTGTATCCGTGACGCTTAGACCCCTGATGAGTTCGGCACTGGCGGCCGAACGAAACATGTCGGGTCCCTCGCCAGATGCTCGACTTGCTCTTCACGTGTTGGCGTGTTGTCGCCATCATTCGGTCTGGGCTGATGGGTTGTGCTTCATTCATATTTTGAAATCCCATCCTGTCGCATTCGGGTTCTTGTACCAGCGTGTTGGCCGGTCTTGTGGTCTCCTCCTTGAAGTTCCTCCTTTTTCTCTCGCTCTCTTGCTCTCTCTTCTCTCTTTCTCTCTCTCTCTCTCTCTCTCTCTCTCTCTCTCTCTCTCTCTCTCTCTCTCTCTCTCTTACCTTGGTCTACAGTCGGTTTCTTTATGTGTTGACAATTTGCTATCTTCTTGATGCTTGACGGGATTTATGAAGTTTCTCTTCAAACCATCCTTTGAACGTTTTAACCCTTAAGAAATAAGACTATAGGAGTGTGGCTCGGTTGCGGGCTGATAGGAGACGACGATTTTTAGACACACTGCTTTCGTTTATCACTATTACGATCCTTTTTATTCTATTCTCTATGGCAGGTGCGTTTCCTTCTCGTAGCTGCTATAACTGTGGCTCGCCTCATCACTTTTTCCGGGAATGTCCGCAGTGAGCCGGTGGTCAACGACCTCCGGCGACCGGTGCCAACGCTGTCCCTACCGGGCAGCCTTTGCTAGCGCTTCCTGCACGTGCGGCGAATGGAGATGCGGCACCTGCGCGGCTCAGCAAACTGCGGGCAATACGGGAGGCAGATACCAGAACAACGGTTACCAGTATGGGGGGCCGCCACGTAATAATTTTTGGAGATCTAATCAAGAGCGGTTGGACAAGAAGTACAATAAGTACTTGCTGAACATGGAGAGGGAGTCCAAGCTTAAGGAGGAGGAAGAGAGAGCTAGGAAGAACAAGGAGGAAGAAGAGAAGAAGGAGGAATGGAGGAAAGAACGAGAAAAGTTGGAATCAGAAATGGCTGCGAGGATCGATATGCGAATGGATGAGGTGTGCAAGTCGGTCAAGGTCAAATGCCCAGCTGAGGGAGAGTGCAGCGCGAAGTGTGAGGACGAGGTTGCCCGACTCAAGCGGGAAAACGAAGAGCCCAAGCAGGCTCTGCGGGGTGATACAGATGATGGGAAGGTATGTAAGCTAGAGCACAGATGATGGAGTTGCGTAAGCAGGTGAACGAAAAGGAGAGTAAGAGATACGAGATTGTGGCACTCAAGCATGAGATCCAGCAACTGCGTGAATCGGCGGTTAAGGAGCAGGAGTTAGCCGGGCTTAAGAGGCAGTTAGAAGATCTGCGAATTGAAGCGCGACAGTGGAAAGATGAGGCGCTGAGGCCAGGAAACAAACGAGGCAGCATCGCTTTGTCTACCCCGGATGCTAATGCGCGGGCGTCACCTATGCCACGTCGCACTTGTGAAAAGGAGCAGGAGCAAGATTGGAGATCAGAATATAGAAAGCTGCAAAGTTTGCGCCGAGCAGATTTTGTCGAAGTGGAGGCGCTTAAGAAAAAGAAGGCGCAGGCTGAGATGGAGGTTATCAACTTGCAGAAGCAGATGAACGAACGGAACGCTAATGAGGTTGGAAAGGAGATGACGCCAGGAGGAACCAATCTGAAGGAGAGATTGGAGGCTGTTGCACTTGGGACGGCCCAGAAAGGTAGGAAGGCCACTCCGAATCGAGAGGGGCTGAGGCCTACACCGCGCCGTGAGGAAAAGCCCAACTCGAAGCAGGGATGTAATGATCGCACTACTTTTGTTGAAGAGCAAACCAAGTTTTTGAAGATGCTGAGGAAGTCTGCGTTGGAACAAATCTGCAAGGAGGCGGGGCTGAAGGCTGAGAAAGTGGATGAAATGATTGAGGATATTGTGCAATTTCGGGTTAAGAATGCATTTGGAAAGAAAGACGACAAGGAGCCGGTGGAGGTTGTAGACGTTGAATCGTCGCGTGACGAATCCACAAGCGGTGGTGACGAAGTCTCCGCTGAGCTCTAGTGAATCTCCCGAACGCGGCTACCTTGTGGTCATTGGCCTTGCTTTGTAAGCAACGTAGATCTTCCTCTAGTTCAGTTGTTAGGACGCACTCCTTTCCTCCGTCATCGGTAAGCGTCGGTGCTTCTCTTTTGTCCGGGTCTTTTTGGTGCTCGGCTTCTCTGTCCACTCAGGGAGTGTCTTCCGAGGATTGTCTGATACGTGACAAGGAGTTCAATGCCTTCTTTCGTTTGGTGGTGATTTGGCTTATATTGAAGGGGGAAGTTCCGTGGGCTACTAAATTTGTCTCGTATTTATCTGAGCTTCTGTATTCGGATTTTGACCTGGAAGAGTGTCGTGGTCCTCTTGTYTACRTGTKAGTCTCCCCCTGGACTCACCATCTCTACGTTGGTTCTACTTCTATATCCTTGCATATTAGGTGGTGTGAGCACGTGTATCRTGCTTGTAATTTGAAGGTTSTTGATGATGGAGGACRTAATCACMRCCKGWWTGCGTGGCTTCGTCGATGTTGCGTTGGTTCTTATGTGGCGATTCCTCTTTTTGGTTGCTCTATTGAGGATATGTTGGGACTGGAAAAGTACTGTATTCGCAATCTTAATCCTTATCTCAACTCGCGGGACCGACGGAAGAAGGGAAAGAARAAGAGACYTGGGCTGCGTGAACRTATCAAGCGGAGTAGATCTGGTATGAAAGTTGTGGCTGGTCAAACCTCTGACAGACATCTGGTCTTTCGCTCGTCTGATGGAATGGTGTCCGCATCTCTTTCTCGCCTTCTTGAGTACTGCATGGAGTCTAAGGTGCGTAAGGTTGGTATTGAATGTACCGGTGGGAATAGGCTGGCAGAGAACTGAAAAGTGCTTAAACGAAAATTTGGTTCCTCTATCGTACGTTGTGATGGTTCGGTGGAACTCTTTTGTAAGGCTAAAGGCTGGCTGCTGGCTGCTGGCTGGGCGGTTCCTGATCTTTGATCCTGTCGTTATTTTCTGCTCTCGGTCCGCCATCTTGATCCCTACTTTGGTTGGGTTTCTGTCTAGCCCGGCCTCTCGAAGGATTTTGTATTCCTGGGATTTGGGGATGTTAATTAACGGGAGGACACATATTCAGGGTGTGTGCGTGTACCGATCTGGACACAATGTTTCCTAGGATGGGTGAACATGTTTACTTTAGGCTTAATGAGCTGGGGATGGTTCCTTCGTGGATGAGGAATAAGAAGAATATTCCACGACCGGATGGGACTAACTTGATGTCACGGTTAAGGAGACAGTTGGATGGTGCCATGCAAGAACTTGAGTTTTCGGTTCCCACTGTCACCAGAGTGGGGTTGATGGGTTGCCTTTTGGATGGTTGCAGAGAAGGTGGCGATGATTGCACCTTTGATGAGGTTTTGGAATGGAAGACAAGATTCCGGGGTTTGGTGAAGGTGCCTATTGATCATAATGCAGGAGACATCGTGGTGTGCTGCCCAGTGGTTTACCATATGGGAATTTCGAAATTGTTCTTAGATAACCCTGGGTTTTGTCGGAACACTAGGGAGGAGGATAAGTTGTTGATTGATATGGGAGCAGTTACAAGGAGCAAGGGCTCACCAGATTCGCAAAATGGGATGCTAAGGGAAAACTGGGTAATGCATATGTCGTACCAAAGCATAAGGATGTGGGCAAATGGCGGCCTATCTGTCCTTCTTTTTCTGAATGTGGGGTCAGGGCCAGTAGGAAGGTTTCGCGAGTTATCAACCAGATGGTTTGGGATTTGCCCGCTGGGTCACATTTCAACTTGAAGAGTACCGACTTGCTACGGGAGGGCATTCAACGTGTTAACACTGATTTGAAGGAAGGTGAGGGATGGGTGACGACGACATTTGATATTAAGGAGATGTTTTGTAATTTGCCGCACTCATGTATAATGCATGTTGTCGATTGGATCACGGATTTTTGGGCATCGAAAGGAATGAATGGCGTGCTGATCAAGAAAATGGGTAAAGGGGCCAAGCTGCAGAGAGGAAGGAAACAAGAAGGGTGAGATTCAGTTGATTTTCAGACGGTCCGTGAGTGTGTCAGCTTCGATTTGCGTAATACCTTTGTCAAGGTGGCTGGTGTGGTTCTGCGGCAGATTGTTGGCATCCCGATGGGGAAACCGTCTAGTCCTGCTCTTGCTTGTCTGCTCTGTGCTCATTCTGAGTTTGTTTTTTTTGTCTTCGATTGGGAAGGATCGGAGATTGTTTCATGGGTTACGACTTGTTGACGATGTTCCTGTTTTCGCAAAGTATAAGCTTGACGAGGTGGGTTCGAGGGCAAAAGCTGAGGATTTGGTTTGACTTTTTCAGAAGAGTTACGACAACAATTTGTTTTTTTGAATGTAACAACCGTTCGGAATGCTGGGAGTTTTTAGGATGGGTAATCTAAGGATTTCGGTTTCCCTGTGGGGGTCAGGTGTGCCGCTGTGCACAAGAATCAGAGGGGGATCCTGCAGGGCATTTAGTTTCAAAACCTGCAGGATGTTTGCTCTTATACTAGCAAGCAACAGAAGGTGGCGGTTGTGGGATCCTTTCTGCATTGCGTTTTATCAGTATGCCGGGTGCAGAGCTGTGTTTTCTCTTCTCTTTGAAGGTCGAGTTGAGGCTTTGGGGATTTAGAGATGATTTTTTTGGCAATGTGTTGAGGAAATTTTCTGGTAAATTTGGAGGAATTTGGCAGCATTGGGTCGATTGTTTGACGGGATGGGACAGGTTACCTTATGTTACTGATGTGCCTCGTAATTGGCAGGGGGCAAGTGTTTCGAGGGGTCTTAGGCAAGGCTGAGTTTGTTTGTTGGTCCCCCCTAGGTTTGTCAGTGGGGAAAGCGTTCTGAGGGGCTCTATTTTAGGTACGGTTCTGGGTGAGGCGGTGGGCCTACCGTGGGGAGTGACCGCTTTGTATGATGCTGTACTTCCCTGTCTTGTCGGGATTGAGTCTTGAAGTTGACGATTGAGACCTGGTAGGTTTTCGGTAGGACTTTCTAAGAGTACCTATAGGGCCAACCACATTGGTTTTGTATCCGTGACGCTTGGACCCCTGATGAGTTCGGCACTGGCGGCCGAACGAAACATGTCGGGTCCCTCGCCAGATGCTCGGCTTGCTCTTCACGTGTTGGCGTGTTGTCGCCATCATTCGGTCTAGGCTGATGGGTTGTGCTTCATTCATGTTTTGAAATCCCATCCTGTCGCGTTCGGGTTCTTGTACCAGCGTGTTGGCCGGTCTTGTGCTCTCCTCCTTCATCCTTTCTCTCTCTCTCTCTCTCTCTCTCTCTTCGCTCTCTCTCTCTCTCTCTCTCTCTCTCTCTCTCTCTCTCT